ATTTATGCTGCTACCTCCATTCCTACGCTGGGAATCGAGCGTGTGCGTATGCCCAGCCCGCGACGCCCTTGTATTCCTGGCTTACGCGACAAGTCAAACTAAGCAGCCGTGAGCATAGATCAGCAGTAGCAAGCGCGGCCCCGTACTCCATAGACAAGCAGTGTTTCCACATGCTCTGAATAGCAAACGCTCTAAAATCCACACGGAGCAGGTTCGGTTGCCCATCTTCGTCCAGCAACATCAACCGCGCTCCTCTCACAAACAGACGCGCGGGGCGGACGCGCAACAGAGAGACGCACCTCTGCTCTTATTGCTGCTTCCCCACCTCAGACACCCGTCTCGACCCAACCCCTCTCCTCGTGGTGACGACGGTCTCTCGACTGTTCTTACTCCTTCGAGCATCCTCGGACAAACCCTGCTTTGTCCCTATGGGGCTACCCGGGGTGCCCGCCGCTCCTGCCTACCTGTCTGATCTCCTGCTGCCCCGCTGCTCTCTTTCCTGCACTTTCGCTCCCGCCTCCACGCCCTGCGTGGCCTCGGCTGGTCTCACACCAGTCTCCGTATCTCAGCCCAATGGGTCACACCCTAGCCGCACTACCTCCGCGTTCTTCCTGAAGACGATTTTAGGCCGACAGATCACCCGCGCCCCGGAGTCTACTTACATGTGTTGTTCCGTATTTAACCTAGCACTGCGCGCGCCTAGTCGCGAGACTCGACTGGCCATCTGAGCTTTCCCGTCCGCCTGCTCCCGTAAGACTCATCGACGAGCCCGACCCTGTCCACTCCTACCAACCTGCTTGCCACCCCAGCAACCCACGCATCAAGCCACCGCCCTTTTTTGTCCTACCTTCCTCTACTCTCAACCTCCGCGACCATACAATTCTACTTTCCCCGCCACCATTACTCCCGAACGACTCTGCATACCTCTGCCTGCCTTCCGGAACTGCTTCTCAGCTCGAGCTCCCATACATTAAGCCTGCCCCGCGCGCCATTCCTCCCAATTAACAGTGAATGGGACTCCTCTGCTGCTTCCACTTCACGCACCACCTGAGCGCCTCCTTCCTACGCCTGGAACTTCATACAACTACACCGAAACAAAGCGCGCTTTCATCCAGACACTATTCCCAGCACTCTCGGCTTCACTTTCTCGCCACTCAGACTCGTCGCGCCCAGCGATGGGCCGCTCGCCTCTGAGGCTTCCTTCAGGTGGTATGCGCTGTCGTGGAATGCTTTTCTATTGCTAGTTCTGTTCTTCCGTGTTCGGACCCCCACCGCCCCTGTGCTGCTCCGCTTAGTTCTTGGTGTGCCTCTGTGTCGGTGTTGGGTGTCCGTCTCTGTGTTTTGCTCCCCGTCATATTCGGTGGAAGCCGCTGGTGGGGGCGGTGGTCGCTGGAGCTCTGCGTGACACACGCTGTGGTTCTCCACACCAACAGCCACCACCGACGGCCGGCTCATCCTGCTTCACATCAACCAGCGCTCTTACTACCCACAGGGCCTCCCGCCCTTCAATCCTCCTGCGGCCTCCTCTCGTATGAGACAGCCAGCCGACCTGAACTTTCTCGGGGGCTGGCTGGATGCGCTTCTCTTGTTGTTTTTCCCTGTCCGGTCTCAGACCATCTGACCGCCTGGTCCTGGACCCAATTCCACTGCCAGCACCGCAACACCCAGAGCACCTGGTGTGCCGGAACCCCTGTCCCACTCCCTCGGTGTCACATCCTGAGATCGGGTCAGCCACTTAAACCACTACTTCCTACGGGCACTGCACTAGGTTACTGAAACATAGATTAAAATCCCTCTCTCCATGATCCCAATATCTAATCTTGTTTTCCTCATCATGCAGCATTTTACGTTTTGTTATTCTCTGTTTTCTCATGCAATGCCGTTTTAAAGGAATCGTACAGATGCAGCCACTGGACAACCAGGTCTACCCCAGTGAGGTGTCTTGTGAGACCGGGAATTTGGACCAGTTTAACACACAACTCATTCCTCTCCAGAGTGACAGCTACCTGGGTCAGTTTCTAATCTGGTCTGAGTCAGTATTTAGAGGTACCCTAAAAGTCTATCTTTATTGCTTTATAAGGTATAACTTCCCCAGCTTCATATTCTGTTCTTCAGGATTCTCCATCGACTCTGGTCTGGCCCTCATCAGGAAGGGTGAGCTGACGGTCGTATCAGGAGCACCCAGAGGAGGTTACAGCGGGCAGGTGGCGTTTCTCAAGGCAGACCCTGTGGCGAAGAGAAATTTGTCTGTGGAGTTAGTCCTTTCTGGTCCGGGCCTGGCCTCCTCCTTTGGCTACGACGTGGCAGTGGTGGATCTCAATGGGGATGGGTGGGTTTACTTAAGAACTTTATGTCTTTTAAAACCTGAGCTGACATTTTATATTGGTCAGTCCATCAATCCTACACTTTGGTTCAAAGTATAATCATAATGACTGTCCTGACTGATATGAACATTTTTATGAATATTCATGGTTACTTTAGGATGTTTCCTCATGATGTATTTACTCCCAAGGTAACCCCATGACCTCCCACATATGTAGCATGAGTTGTCACTTGCACACAAGAACTATCAAAATCTTATGGGCAACTTTGCATGAAATTTACTGACCACATTCATTTCCTCCAGAGGATAAACTCTTTCCATGTTGTGCAATCCATGAGCTTTATTCTAGCACCACAATCCCCCCAAAATTTAAAACATGTAATAGCCAGTTTTTATTTCATGCCATGACCTTTTCCTTCTATATTTGATGCTTTTAAAAAGTCTTTAAAACTGTTTCAACAATAACATATTTCTAATAATTTAATTCAATTCCCTTTGATATTGTGGAATTAAAATGAATACTATAATCATACTAAATGAATGAATTAAAATACAGTTGGAACTCATTTACATTAACATTCAGGAAGTTATCATGCTGGCATTATGAATTGTACACACAATTTACATCACAGACAGTTTGTACACAAGTGATATCACTACTTAAGAATTCTGCCAAAGCAAACATGGCTCCATGTTTCTGTTATTAATAATGAGACTGTTTGTAAGTGTTCTTGTATTGTGTACTTTTGGTGTGTGCAGGTGGGAGGACCTTGCTGTAGGAGCTCCGCAATTCTTTGTTAAAGATAGTTTGGTTGGAGGAGCAGTTTACATCTACATCAACAACAAAGGAAAAAACTGGGAGAAGATTGTTCCAACACAAATTCTTGGACATAAAGACTCCATGTTCGGCCTCGCAGTGGAAAACATAGGAGACGTCAATCAAGATGGTTATGGAGGTTGTTTTTATATCAAATAAATTATACATTAAACTGACAGCTAGACAGTTTGTAAGTAAGAAAGCACATTTGGTTTAAATATGAATACTTCATTATTTAAAGTGAAAATGGTTTGTAACTTTTGCTGGACAGTGGCCTCAGTGGCCACAAGTGGTATATAGGATACTAGTTAATACTAAGCAATGTAACCAGCACAAGTACAGTAAGTTATACAGAAGTATCTATCTAAAGGTAGGAAATGTATCTCTCTTTATGTTGTAACCCCACTTTGTCTTTATTTGTGACAGATATTGCTGTGGGGGCACCATATGATGGTTCTGGTCGAGTATACCTTTACTATGGCTCATCAGACAACATTAAAAAAAAGCCAGCACAGGTGAGATTGTGGGGCTTGTTACCAAAAGGTCACCAGTTCAAATCTGTGGTTGGAAATATTTAGACAGTAAACACAACAGAGCTTGAACTGAGATTCTCATATTTTGACTTCTTCAGGTAATCTCATCTGGATCCAAAAAAGTGACTCTGTTTGGATATTCTCTGTCTGGCAACTTGGACGTGGACAACAATCAGTACCCTGATTTGGCTGTGGGATCACTCTCTGATTCTGTCTTTGTTTACAGGTAACTTTACAGCTATAGTACAAACACTTGGAAGATAAATATATACAGTCCACCAGATCCCTGTTCAGACTAAAGATAGCCCAGAAAAAGAAAACCAGTGAATTTATTCAACCTGACATTGTTTCTCTGTTACAGAGCGAGGCCAGTGGTCAATGTCAGCAGCTCTCTGATGCTAACACCAGATAAAATAGACATCACAAAGGAACAGTGTGATAAACGCACATGGTAAGATGCATAAAAACACAAATGCCAACATGAACCAACTGCAAGCTTATCGGCTTTTGATCCAGTGTGTCTTCTTGTAAGTCATTTTAGAGTTCAGGCATGCTTCACCTACACAGCACATTCAGCATCGCTCAACGCCACACTGAGTAAGTTTTCCTTATTGTCAGTTCAGTGTTCTTCACAAACAGTGTTCCTCAAATGTACATATAGTTATTTTTTGTACTAAAATTAGCTTATGCTTAATATTACTGGCAGTAGATGTTGAAGTAGTGGCAGCTGTAATCAGAAGATCCAGTGTTGCAGTAATAATGGTAGTAGTAGTAGTAGCTTCTCATACTATAACAACAGAAGTAGAAGTTAGCAATAGCAACATGTGGGTACAGGTATCAGTGTATGTATCTTATTCCTTCACAGTCCTCAACTACACTTTTGAGGCTGACGCTGAGAGGAGAAAAGCGAGGCTTCCACCCAGAGTGGATTTTCAGGATTTGTCTCGAGGAAGACTGGAGCTGCCTGGACAGAAGAGAGAAGTCTGTACTGGCACCAGACTCCGACTTCTGGTACTGTTTCATTGTGCAATGTCCCTTTAAAGAGAATCACCAAACACCAGACTGCACACATTATTATTGTGATTGTGACTGTTATGCACTTAAGCACTTATGCACCAGTGTACCAAGGCAAATTCCTTATATGTGAAAACTTATATGGCAATAAACCTGATTCTGATTCTGATTAAACTAAAATAAAAACTCTTCCGTTCCAGCGTGATATCAAGGACAGGCTGCACAGTATCCCCGTCTCTGTCACTGTGTCTCTGCAGAGCTCCAGTCAGACAACCAGGACAAGTGCAGATCTGCCCAACGTTACTCCTGTCCTCAACCTCTTCCAGCAAAAGATCACTGTCTCAGAGGTATGAATGTGTGTATATGCTGTATCTGTGCATGTCTATATCTCTCTTTTTATTAATGAAACTGTTATAGCTCAACTAAAAATAGAATAAAGACAATGTTAGGGTGGGCCAATCCAAGTTGTAAAGAAACTATTTCTGCTCTGTTGTTTTTCACAGATTACCTTAATAAACAAGGGCTGTGGCAGTGACAACATTTGCCAAAGTAACCTTGAGTTACAGTACAAGTTCTCTTCCAGGAAAACACAAAATAATAAAGATGTTTTCAAATCACTGACAAGGTAAGAGACAAAAGGTAATCCGAAGCTAACCAAACTCAAAACAAAGTTACCAGGAACCATCTTGGTTCCTGCATTACATGTGATTGAACCCTAACTCATACTCACCTGGGGTTGTGTCATGATGATTGATTGACACAACCCCAGGTGAGTATGATGACTGATTTTAGAGAGGATGGCGTTGCAATCATCACTCCTTCTGATGAAGACATAGCTTTGGAGATCACTGTGACTAACAGGAACGGGGATGACGCACACCAGAGTCACTCCATCATCAGCCTCCCAGATACTCTTCATTACTCTTCTATAGTCTTCAGTCCTGCAGCAGTGAGTATACAAGTGTTCTGTAGTGGAAGAACAATATGTTTATTAGTGTGATTAATATGAGAAGGAACTGTGGTAGAAAAAGTGTTATTGGGATAAATATATGGTGAGCAGTGTGTATCAAAAATACAGGATGTCTTTGTCATTTTCTGGTATTATTCCAATACAGACACACTTTCTTGATCTTATTTATTCATTCGTTTATTACCATTGTATGTGTATATATCATATGTACATTTGTATCCATAGAAAACTAATCTTATGTAATGTAAGTACATTTACTCAAATACTGTTCTCAAGTACAAATTACTTTTGATACATCAAGTACATTTTGCTGATATTATTTACATACTTTTACATAAGTATGGCTTTGAATGCAGGACTTTTTGTTGATACTGTCACTTAAGTAAATGATCTGGATACTTCTTCCACCACTGTAGGAAACACAAGTGAGTTGCACAGCCAATGAAAAGGGAACACTAATAGACTGTGAACTGGGAAACCCACTCCGAAGAGATGCTGAAGTGAGTACTGCTCAGTTTCCTTCATGTGTATCACCGCCTGCATCTGTTGTATCATTTTTTTGTTTTGTTTGTTCCCTTCAGGTTACATTTTATGTCATACTCACAACATCCGGTATCTCGCTGAGTACAAAAGACATTAACGTCACTCTGCAGCTTGAAACGTAAGTAGGCTGATCAGAGTGGAAACGGGCACCTGTTATTGATCAGTGGACTGAACTTGATTATGATATAAACATGTTCCTGTGATGTAGGACAAGTGTGCAGACCATACCGCCAGTTGAGGCTTTAGCCAAAGTGGTTTTTCAGCTTGAGCTGCAAGTATATGGGTAGGTACTGAATGTTGTTTTCATTTTTTGTCAAATTGTGTTATTTTATGAGATTATGTTTTCTTTTGGTAATTTCAACGCAGATATGAAGAACCTCATCTGTATTTATGCTGTTCTTAAGTTCTTATTCTTCCTTATCTTCTTTTTTTTCTATTTTTTTTTGCAATACAATATACAAAGTGATTGTTAAAAGGCCATGAGCAAAACATTTTGGCTTGAAATAAGTTTAAAATGCTTTGGAATAATGGATGAAAAAGTCAAAGAATATAACATCAAAGTGTATCTTTGTTTGTCAGACGAGCCAGGCCTTCTCAAGTGTCACTTGGTGAAAACTTGAGGGGTGAGAGCGCCATAAAATCTGTGGACGAAATTGGAACTCCAGTTCAATATGAATTTAGGGTGAGCTGTCATTCGTTGTGACTGTAAAAAGCCTTTAATTGCCCAGTTGAATTTCTTTTACACAAACAGATGAATGTCTTATTTTTCTAACAGATAACAAATCTGGGCAGACCACTGAAATCTTTCTCTAATGCATCACTAAACATCTACTGGCCAAAGGAGAACACTGTAGGGAAATGGCTTCTGTACTTGACTCAGATCAACAGTAAAGGTGTACAGTCCGTCCCCTGCTCACCTGTAGACGAAATCAATCCACTTAAACACGTGAAGGTAATAAACACCTCTGCCTTTTTGTTTTATTGTTCAAACTGTAAGCAATGCCTGTAATAAACACCTGTAACCTGCTCATGTTTGCTATCGAGGGGTGGCATGACCCCTCCAGGAGAAGACGTGAAGCTGAGCATGAAGCCCTCTCTACTGACGGATTCTCTTTTCTTCCAACCAGAAGGAAATACAAAACCCTAGTAAGAAATCATCATTATTGTTTAAGCAACGAAAGAAGTGTGAACTGAGTGTACAAGGTGTGTGTCTGTTAGGTGGGATCCTCAGGCCTGTTGTCCTCTCTTTCAGACCTGCTCTGACGGACTGAAGTGTGTGGAGATACGCTGCCCTCTGTTGGGTTTGGACAGTACTGCAGTGATTGTTCTGCATTCACGCCTGTGGAACGCCACTTTTACAGAGGTGTTTCATTTCTTTAAAAAAAAAAGCCTCCCATATGTTTGAAATAGATCAACTCTGACAGATAACAGTGATGGAAATGCTTAATTGTTGGTGCTTTAATGTCATTTTCCAAGAATTATTCAAACTGACTTTTAGCTGTGTGGCTCTTTGTTGCCTGTTGCTTGTTGTTAATTGTTTGGTCCATAAAATGTCAGAAAATGTCGATCACTGCTTCCTAAAGTCCTAACGTCCTCGATATCTTGTTTCATAACCCAAAGATATTCTGTTTACTGTCATAGAGGAAAGAAACCAGAAAATAGTTCCCATAGAGAAGTTCACTCACTCATATATTTTGCCTCTTTCATTTAGGACTACAGCTCCTTGAACTACCTAGACATTGTTGTGGATGCTACTCTCAGTTTAACACACTCTCCAGAAAATATTGGACTTAAGCCAGAGAAACCTGGGACAAAGGTAAAACCACAAGTTTTTTAAAATATGTAATTTTTCCTCCATATCCCTCCTTTGGGCTCAGATAGTGACAGTGATATTGCAGTAACTACCATCACACTGATGTAACTAACATGACAAACAGGTCATCTTAGGAAGCTGCAGTCTACACACTGAAATCTATCTAAACAATATATTAGTGACTCTCAGTTTGTGCGCTTCTCACCTGTTAATGCACCTCAATAACCCCACTTTTACGGCATCCTTGTCCACAGGTAAAACTGACAGTGTTCCTTGAGAGAAAGTATTTCACCAAAGTTGCCTGGTGGATCATCTTCCTGACAGTCATTGCATTGCTCCTGTTGTTGGCTGTTATTGTCTTCCTGTTGTGGAAGGTAACAAATAAAACCAATCTATAATAGTTTGTTTTAAGGACTGCGGTGACCTTGCTGTGGAAGAATGATTCATAAGATAACACTGCTTTTCCATGTATCAGATTACTAAAGATACTAAAGGAAATCATTTTATTTCATTGATCCAGTTGTTTATTTAAGTTAGCTGATAGTTAAATTACAATTTTCTGATTTCTACATACAGATTTGCAGTATGCAGTCATATTACAAATCACTAAATAAAATCTTATAACAAGTTGTACATTAGTCTCAAAGTATACAGTAGTCTATTTATAAAAGTACTTAATTTTCTTTAAATTGATGCTTTATATTCACAATCTATTTCTTCAAAGTCTCAGAATTATGAATTCATTTACTTTCTACTAACTTGCTCAGTAAATGTAATAATAAATGTTTCTATTGTCTATCCTTGTCAGCGTGGCTGCATCGACTGCCTCGCTCAGAACAAGAAGCCCTCCACATAATGAAGATCCAAACACGGAGACTGCTCACCTTAAATGCTGAGAGGAGAAAACAGGGCCTGAGCCTCAGTGGTACGAGACGTGTGCCATGAACACAAGATATTAAGGCTGGATTGACTCATGTAATTACTAGTGCACAATTATGTGATTATGTGTCATGAACATCTTTGATCTTCTTTTTTTAATCACACTGTTTTTACTGCTTTTGTAATAAAAAAAGAAATGCAACATACTTTTCTTGAGTTTTTTTAATGAAGCAGAAAATATCACTTGTTTGATACCAAAAAACTGTTACAACAACATGAAAAAAGTTGTGCTATACTTTCACCATAAAGGAATGTGCGAGCGGTGGGAATGGATGAGAGGTTGTACTAAAGAACAATTTAACCTGAAATTCAATGGAAATATTGCAGCCACCACATCCTAATCTGACTGCTGATCATCAAAAGCACATATGATTACAATACTGTTGCTTTAGAAATACTGTGGAATATTGTTGTTTTCATTAGTAGTTGTGCAACATAATACTGTGTTTATGGTGAAGTCTTGTACATGGTCCCACTGACTTTGAAGGGTTTCGTTCCAAAATTAAATTTCACATAAATACTCCAACACTTAGATGGCTGCCACGAATCCCTCATTAATATTGACACCAAGCTTTAAACCTTTCTTTATCCAGGAATGCTGCCTCAGAGGATAAAATCTCATGCCGAGTCATATGCTAAGTGATTAAAAGTAGGAAATATTTTTGGCAAAATGAAACCCTTCTCTTGCTAATGTTTGTATTGTACAGGTGCAATAAGCCATTTGGCTAGAAGTGTACTTCTGTTACAGCAAAGTGAATTTCACAATTCCTCATTCAACAGAAAAGTGTCCTTTCACAGCATCTATACATTCTTTTTATTCTCTCTGTCTGTATCGCTGTTCTCTTTTGGGATCCTATCAATCGACTTTCATCATCATCATCATCAATTGTTCATCATTTTGAAAAGCTGGTTAGCTTAGCTAAGCATAAAAACTGTAAACAGGGGGAAGGGCTAGCCGACCGGACAAAGCTCGCCAACCAGAACCTTTTATCTGGTTTAGTTCTTACAAAAATCCAAGTATAAAACCAACATTTTGCCATTCCATATGCCGTGGTTATTTCTTGGCCAAGACCAGTGACTTCCTAAAGTCTCCACAGGTTATCTGGCAACTGCTCCCAGCCAAGAAATAATCCAGCACATAATCCTGCATAAAACCACAATGTGTTCATTAGTGAGCTTTAAAAGGCGCTGTTATCTTTGGAGAGAGCCAGGCTAGTTGTTTCCCCCGTTTCCAGTCTTTATGCTAAGCTAAGCTAACCAACTGCAAACATTTACCGTGCAGACAGTATAAGCAGAATATAAATCTCCTCATCTAATTCTCTGCAAGGGAATAAATGCCTTTGCCAAAATGTCAAACTAATTTAGTTCACTCTGCTGCTCTCCACCCCTCACGAGTTTTGTTTTTGCTTCTTGAATATTCTTTGATTTTACCTTCGTCAAAACACATTCAGCATATGAAAATTAAGAGCCATCGTCTCTCAGTTCTTGACAGCATTTGTCTTTCCATCCGCATTCAATCCAATTTTACATCACACCATGAGCTCGCTCACTGTTTTCATCGTCTCCTGTTGCTTTTAGGAAAAATAAGTAGAAAAGCGTGGTATTAAAAAACGTCTCAAAATCTTCTCAACATGAACTTAGAACCTTAAAACCTGAACAAACAATATAAAACCATCATACAAACACACACATTCACACACATTGCTCCTTAACAATCTCTGGTTGAGGCTAAAAACGCCAGAAAAATCTCCGGCTGGTCTTGTAGCCCAGCGTTGTGATGATACTAATATTAAGAGTTTCGTTGTGATTGGTTTTACGAAAAGTATTAATAAATACAACTTGATTTTTCCTTTTTATACCAGAGGAAGTTAAAGATAAACAGTTCTTTTAAAAGATAAAAACTCTCAACCCTTGCCTTATAAATCATAACAATAAGAACAATGAAATATTATATTACAAATAAATTAAACACACCAATATATTACATTAATCAACCCCTTGTCATCACAAGTAACCACAGATTCATTTGAGCCTTTAGGTACATTCAAAATAAGCCCCTTGTTTGGTTAAAGAGTCATACTATTGACTTTTTTAAATCTCCAAGCCAAAATACAGAGATTTAATTAAGAGAGTAAATTAAATCTTACTACTTACACAAGACGGGATAAAAATGAACCAAATGAACCACAACTGGACTGAAAGCAAGATCAATGAAATAATTAACTTGGTTTCATGAAAAAGGCAGCAAACAAACTCACTCGGATCAAATCAGCTGCTCATCGAAACTACATGGTAATTAAATGGCACCACTAATCTCCGTCTCGCAGACCACCAAACCACGAGCCCATGACCGTTTTATTTCTTTTTCACCCCTCAAGGCTTATATGCTCCAGCACTGCACACCATTCAGCATCGAGACTCCAATAGGTCAAACACCTCACGAATGGCACTAAAACAAAATGGCAGTACTTGTTAATTAAGTATTGTTTGTAATCGTCAATGCCTGGTAATGCTTCTCTTGTGGCTTGGGCAGTAGGAAAAATATTCACTTTAACTTATTTTGTGCTCTAAACAGGTGTTTTTGATTATTGCTAAATTAACCTGTTTTTGTCTTCATTTTTTTTCTGCTGGTGTAAACAAATGGAATGGCATTTTTTTTTTCTCTCATCATAATGTGCTTTGAAACTCCAGCAGGACAGAAAACCTCCAGACTGTAATAACCAGCTATCTCCACATGGGGGCAACAGTGACCATGAAAGGCAAAGACAACAAAGAAACCAGGGAGAGAGTGAGCTGGCTGGCTGCAGATCTGACCCGCCCGTGGCCGTTGTTTTTGTTCCACTTGGCCCCGTTTTTTTCTCGCACTCGGGGCGGCTTTGCGGGGTTGGACGCGGGGTTACGAGGAGGTTTGTTGTTGGAGGGAGAGTAAGGCCCGTAGCCTGGCCAATCATCATTGTACCTTTCACCGTGATCTCCACCCCCTGAGCCACTGCCCTCCTCACCTGCAACAAAGACAAAGATTTGACTATGGAATGGAAATTGAAAGTTAATTAATACAAATTTAGTGGTTAAGTTCTTTGATGGTGTTCACACATACACATACTGCATCCCTTAATACTCCTTTAAGGACATACGTAAGGGTTAATGTGCAACGAGGTGTCCATTATTGGGAGTTAATGGACCATGAACCCAACAGAATCGAGTATTCTCCCAGACCATGCGATAAACACTCACTGTCCATAAAGTCCATGTCCTGTCCGGTCTGAGCGTGTCTCAGTTTGTTGGTCACCACCCTCAGCTCCATGATCAGCTGTCTGGTCCTCACATCTGGTCTGGCAATGTCCACTTCCACTTCGGGGTTGTTGATCTGGCTGACCAGCCCGTCGCCTGTCACATCCGGGAGGTACCTGAGTGTGCGCGCACACACACACGGAGGCGTTAGAGTAAAAAAACACAGGCACGGATTCACACAAGATCTTTTCAAAGCAGCGCCAGGCAACCTGCTGCCATTTGAAGCCACAGCAGGGAGGTTTAACTCAGACACACAATTAATGAGTTTCGCGCCACAGGCGTACATAGTATATTTTTGCAATAACCTAATAATCTTCACTGCAATAACTGGCTAGTTTCTTGGGGGGAATTCACTTTCTGGCATTTAATTGTAGGCATTCTGGACTTACTTAAGCTTAAAGCTCATGGTAGCTTTTTGTATTGTGCTTCAAAAATGGAAGTACATGTACCCAAACAACAGCATGGCTTTAGGGATGATCATGCTGTTCAGTCACCACTTTGGTCCACACTGAAATGTCTCAACAGCCGTTGGGTTGGTTGCCATAAAATTCATGGTCTACAGACTTTTCCTGTATAGCGCCACAATAAGGTTGACATTTTGGTGCGGGGGAAAATGTCTGAATCCAGTTGTGGTCTAAACATTGATTCATGTCCCCCTCTGGATGAACTGTAGCGACTAAATATCCAAACATCTGTAAGACGAGTGACATTCCCATCAGTCTCAGCTGTACTTTGTATTTAGTGCTAATTTGCAAATCTTAGACAATGACAATGGCAAATATTAGACCTGCTTGGAGTCGGCATGTTATTGTCATTCTGAGCATGTTAGCATTTAGCTCAGAGCACTGCTGCCTCTACAGGACCGCGAGCATGGCTTTAGTCTTGTTTTTAAATGTGTAGCCTTTTTGGATTGTTGCTGGAGGGCTGTTTGTTGTTGTTGTTGTTGCTTTTAGGGGATTTTACACTCAGACACAATATTTGATCAATAAATAATAAATAATGTGCAGACACAAACTGAACAATGTTATCGGCTGAGTGGAGATCTTTACTTTAAACTCTTCGTGGAATAAAACTTAAACGAATAATTAGATTTTATTTTGTGCCAAATTGTAAAAATGTGAAGCAGCATCTAAAAATATATCAGCGACTGTTTCACACTCAAATAAAGTCTGAAAGGAAAATATTGAAAAAACAATTTGGCACCAAGTTGGAAAATTAAAGAGAAGACTGAATGTTTTTGTAGCCTTAAAATGAATATTATATATAAATATATATATATATAATACAATTATTATCAGGAGCTGTTTCAGTCTGACCCAGTGGAGCTTCAGAGGAGTTTAACCTCTAACAAGCAGAAAATTCTATTATTTAAATGATCTGACACTAAATGTTTCAATGCTTCGTCCTGTTTCACCTGATGGTTTAAATCTGGTTTCAGAGGATCTAACAGATAATAACTCCTCTTATTGGTAATTATTAATATCAGGCTTTAAACAGAGGCTCTGAGTCCAGTTTCATGGATTCTTACAGGAAGAAAAACAGTTCAAAGATCTCTGAATGTTGTTTAGTCTTTATTTATTAATATGAGGCTTCAGGTGGAGGGTTGAAGTCGGGCTTTAAAACCACTGACAGAAGGAAAAAAACTCCCAAAATGTTGAATTTTGTGGCTTTTTTTAAGAATAAATGATTTCATGTTTTTGTTTATTATCATCTTAAAAATATGAGGCTCAGTCTTCAGCTTGAATCGGTGCAACCAGAGTGTTTGTGTCTAAATCCAGTCTAATGGAAGGAAAACACTGAATTTAAAATCTAATGAATTTTTTGGCACCAAATTGTAAAAAATGTAAAACAAAAAAAGACTGAATGTTTTCAGTGAGAACCATCTTAAATATATATATATATATAT